GCTAGGATTACAGGTGCGAGCCACCGCGCCCAGCCGCATTCAGTCTTCAACCCTCCCCACCAGCCCTCCCACAATTCACGACGCCCTTCCTGCACCCTACATCACACGGGACTCTACTTACCCTGTCTGACTCAGTCCTCAGGGCTCTGTTCCTATCTCAGCTGGATGGGGCACTCCAGAGGCTGTGATTGCTCCAGGCCCAGTATCCAGCCCCTGGCCACATAACAGGCCATCAATATAGCTTTGCTAAACTAAGTGAACTGCACCTTTGGCAAGTTACTAAACCTCTCCGAGCCTCGATTTCTTCATGGGTATTACAGGAATGACAACACCTACCTCCCGGTGTCTATTAGGGTGATCTGGGACAGGCACCCAGCCAGGGCTTGCCACGCCACACTTATTCCTGAGTGTGAGCACCCTGCCCTCTTCGCCTCCTCATCCTCTGAGTCCCCTCTCCTCACAGATCAGTCTTTACTCATGAGCCAGCCTTTCCCTCTGAGCCCCATTACATCTACAAATCAGCACTGGGAGCTGGAATTAGGCAAGAAGTTGGAAGCTGACAAGAGGGTTCTCACAGAAGCAGAAGCCACTGTGTTCACTAAAAAGAGGAAAAATGGGGCTGCTGCAGCCAAGCAGGGGAGATAAAGAGGTAGCAGCAGCCAGCTCCCTCCCCTCCCAGCCCCATCTCACCCCAAAGCTGCACAGGAGACAACGGCATCCCATCAGCGTTAATAGATTATGAGGACAAACTGTACTCAGTACATTGTTCCAAATGCTGTACTGCAAAGCTCGCTCCAGTGAATATTTCATATAATAAATCAAATCAAAGATAAATTAATGTTTCATGGAATACACTCTGTGCAGCAAGAAGCAAACCACAGATACTGCACAAGTGTGAATCAAAACAGCCACACCTCCCAAAGTCTAAAACAGGTTTGCAAACTGTGATCTCCCCAAGGACAGGGTACAGTCTGACACACCCTAGAGCCCCAGCCCAGACCAGGCTCCGCTGCCTGGCAGGAGGCAGCAGGCAAGAGTGAAGAGAGGAGAGGAGAGGAAGGGAGGGGAGAAGAAAGGCCACCCCTTCCTCCTTCCCTCAAGTCCCCCACCTCAGGGGCTACAGGAAGAATTGCCATATGATCTAGGAAACCAGGAGTACAAGGTGACTCCCATATGGAAGGCAAGATCCCAAACACTGGTTTACACCAACTTGAACATACGATTTTTAGGGATGTAGACAAAAAAGTCAAATCACTATTTGTAAGTTTTATTAATTTATTTACATATACATATTCAAAATAAAAATCCAATTAATTATAAAATTCTATTGTCCCCACACCCAGCTTACAAAATAATATTTTTCAAACCCTTCATATGCATCAACAGTAATGACTTTATCAACCCTAGAGTCAAGCTGAGTGACCCAGAGCACATCACCCTCACCAGCTGTTTAAGATGTGCTGGATACATTTCCTTGTCCCTTTATGTAGGATGTGTTATGGGAAATGTTGGCCCAACCCGCAAGAAACTGTGTTCATATCATTAAAGCAGTTGTTTTTTTTTTTTTCCATCAGCCTATAATCATATATTTGCAGCCAATTACTAATCTTCCTTTCACTGGTGATCTTTAAAGTCTTGTTTACAACATTCCACACTTAAATAGGAGGTCAGACCCCCACCAACCCCCCTGGAATCATGATTAAGTCTGTGTTAAATTTCTTTGCCTCCTTTTATTTTTAATTAATTCTCTCAAGTAACTTTTAGAAGCATCCAAATTCAGTCATAATTTAGGGTTTTTCTAGGCTAAGGTGTCCTCAGATGGGACTTTGTTGTCCAAAATAAAGCAGGTAAGTGAGAGAACATTCACTATACAATATAAGAGACTTTGGAAAGACGCAACACTTTTGAGAAGGACAGACTGGGGAGAAGGAAAGAGAGGGAAAGCTTGCCTCATATTCTACCATTCCCGACACTTCCAACACAGGTGGCAGAATCAACCAGCCATGGCAGAGCCTGGGGCCAGGCAGGAGCAGTCTTGAAGAGCCAGGCCACCGCTCCTCTGAGTGCTCAGTGGGGACACAACGCCATGCCAAGCTCTGCGCAACCTGGTGGAGAAAACTCATTTATCACTGGGCCTGCCCTACTGTGAGGCAGGTCACAGCGGTGCTCCTGCAGCCAGGAAGGGAGGTGGTGAGGGATGGCTCTGAGCGTGAGAAGATGCCAGGTTTCCAGGAAAACCCAAAGCCTGCCTGAAGAACAGCAGCCCCTGCAGCCACAGACAGCAGTGCCGCAGGTCAGCCAGAGGCCAAGGGTCAGCCAGCGTCCCCGCCCCAAGCTCAGCCAGAGACCATCCCACGCAGAGTTGTTGGAGGGGAGGGTGACGGTGCAAA